TATATATATATGTGTGTGTCATTTTATATTGATTACTAATTTCTACAGACTAACATTTGGCAAACTCATTTCAAAAATGATCCTTTAGTTGCCGTATTCTCTGCCAAATAAAACTACAGTTGAAATGTTATATTCCAAGAGCACCCTTTCAATCAGACAAAACAAAACCCCCTAATTACCATTTTTAATGTTTGGATTTCTTAAGATTCCGTTATGTTACATATGAATACTGTATTTGTGGCGGGCATTATAGGCTTTTTATGAAAAAACAAAACTAGACAAAAAACATAGGAGAGTCCAATAATGCAGCCAAGTATGCGTTTCCAACCCGAAAGAAACTGTCGAATTAAGGTTTATAATACTGTAAATGCAAAAAAATAAAAATAAATTAAGTCTGGTTTCCTACTTAATCATGGGCTCATAGCATTAGGGAAGGTGAGGGTAGGGAAACGTTCCCCTCAGATTTCTGATGTCCACGATCCGTCCACTGCACTTTCATCACGTAAACCAACAAAAATCTCCGGGAACTAATGATGTGTTTAAATTACACAACAACGTCCGTATTTACATTTTTAAACCAGAGTTTTAATCAGCCGTCTTTCTGAAGTCCGATCTCCAACTCAACAAGGCATATGAAGCTGACAAACCCGACATAGAATGTATATGCTAATGTTATATCAGCTGCTCACGCAAACGTTGTACTGTATTTACATGTTTAGGTTGGAATTTTTTGTTTCTAAATTCCGACTATCAGTGGATTTTGAACACATGCCGTCACAGTTGGCACTCTGAGAAATGTGTTGTTTGCTCAATGTAAAAGATAGAGGGAACAATTTTCTGAGGATATATATATATATGAAAATGTGTGAGTGCTTGTGCGTGTATGTGTGTCAGTCTGTGTGTGTGCGTGTTTTTAAAAGCTTGATCCCAGCTACAAGGTCCCATCTCCGCACCTGAATTTAATGCAACGGTTTTATTCGTTCATTTATAGTTTTTTAAATAACGTGCCGTTAAACTGAAATGCTGTTATCAAAATAATTCCTTTTGTCAAATGTCCCCCAATCTGTATTTGTGCGTGGGATTCTTCCCGTTTCGGGTTTCCGGAGGTGCTAATGTGACGTCACATATCACGCTCCAAGGTCTTTTAAAATCCCGGTTCGTATAGGACAATGTATCCATTTCTTGAATATGAAGATTTGTTTTGTTTTCTCATGGTAATATAAACAAAACTTGACGTTTTATAGATTATTTTTAAATCTCCAAAAATGTCCTCACTATTTTCGAGACACAATATTCACAACTTAAAAAACGGTCGATTTTCATCAGTTTCGATGTAAACAAGTGGTGGTTTATTTAATTCTTAACACAGATTACAGCCTATATTTGGTATTATTTACACTCCCACCACGTTTTTCACTTCACAAAACCGACACTTTGTCATCACAGTGACGTCACAACATGTATTTACACCGCAGCCCAGAGAGAACCAGAAAGACAAATATGCAGGTAGACAGTACAACTTCACAAACAACTTGTAGTGTGGTAATGAGAAATATTATATGTCTTTTGGCATTCAGTTGAGTGGCAGTTCAGCTCTTCCAAACGGCCCCATTGCACATAAATATATATATCGAGTTAAATAAAGTTGAGCGCAAACTGACTCCCATTTGTACAGAATGCTTGTGGGAATAAATCTGTGGCCCAGAGGATGAGTGGTTGGGATATCTTCAGGTAGCCTACTTGTGTTCACTTTCATTTCTTAAAAGAGAACAAAATTTAAGAGCATTTGTGGGCAAACATCGCATGCCGCGAATGACCCCGATCTATTTCAATTCGGGCATATTGAGCAACAGATAAAACACGGTTCGATGTTTTATTTGAACCTCTTCATCCCTGACCCGCTTACAATATACTGACGCTGCAATCGCTGGTTATCCCCATTTATACACCTCAGTAACACGAGGACGATCTAAATTTCCACTTGCAGTGTTTAACCAAATGGATAACTGAGGTAACAATTTAAGATTTTTGCAGATCGAAAATGTATAGAGAGCAAACAGAACAACCCACCAATGACGGGGATTAATAGACCACCTTAACGTTCTGTACGGCCGTGTTTTCCTTGAGGGGAACGGATGAGTGTCCAACGAGGTCCACACATCCACACAAAGGTGATGATGACTTGCTAGTTCATGCGAGTGCGTCACGATCGTCCCGCTGCGGAGCGCAGCGGAACAGGGAGTGCAGTCGACCTGCGGGATGGAGCTGGCTACTGTTTGAGTTCCAGTGCCCAGACGTGCTGGGGCCATCCTGTCCGCCCTTTTGTCTTCTTGTCGCCCAGTGACGATGAGGAGGAGGACGACGACGAGCAAGATGACGATGTAGCTGTCTTGGCGATGTCCACCTGCAGACAAATGGCATTGTTGCAAGAACATGTAAGGTCTCCTTGAGAGATAAACACCATGAAGCACAGTTCCATCGGTCCTGTTTGGTGTTCCGCATGAGGCTCACGTGTTATTCATAACATAAACTGAAATTAGATTGAATTACATAAAATATAAATTCATATATATATATATATATATATTACACATAAAATCACGCCGCAATAAACCAAACAGTGTAAGTGTTGAAAATATCTGCACCCAGTCGTCTTCCTTATACAGTTTAACGCATTCAAGTTTTTTGGTGTGTGTGTTAACGTGCGTGTCAAGGAGAGTTAAAATATCTGAAATACGGTAAACGTTTACTTTGTATTTTATGTAATGTAAAATATTAAAAATAATCATAGATTGTAATTATTTCACTTCACAAAATGTGACGAAAAAAGGCTGTTGCTATATTTAATTAACCGCATCGGTTTCCCCATTCACAGTAGAAAACGAATGTCTGTTTTGCATACATTCATAATAGTAATCCAATTTTAATCCAGCCATTCAATATCTCAATGTGTTTGTCAAAAAGTGTTCCTAATAATTCCCTACAAAACTTTCAGTCGTGTTGTTTATTTTATTCGGCTCTATTGGCCCCATCTTACTGATCACCTGTTTTACAACCACAGTATCAACAATAGAAAAAACGTAATAATACTCCACCAACTAAATTATGATGTGCACGCAACATACAACAGAATATGCCAACCTTTTTATGTGACTAAATACATTTTTAATTAAAATTAAAACATCTCAAATTTATGCACGTTTCAAACACATTCTCGGGATTTCCTTTTTGAATTAAAGCTACTGACCTCCGATGATTTGCTCACAAAAAAAAACAACAAAAAAAAACGAATTTGCACGCAGCGTCACTCCGATGAATCAAGCCCGAGCGCCATCACAGTAAAAGAAAAATATATCGGTTTACATTCCCTGTGATGGTGCTACTTTAAATATTCAGAACATTTATAAATAAATGAAACAAATATAATAACAGATCGATAGTATAGATGTATTTTATTTGCACCGTGCTACACCAACAAGAAAGGGATCTGTTTCAATATATTGTCACAAATTTAAGGCTCGTGTATATATCAGCTAATTTAACAAAAGCAGTTTTCTTCAGATTGCAGCGGTCATTTCAACAATTTCCATTATATTCATTAAATTTAGGCGTTCGGGAAATTGCTGCTGAACATGTAAAACCAGCTCGCTCCAAATCGAACCCACCAAGCGAATGTTTTTAATACGGCGTCCCGAATTTGTATGCGCGTCGTTTGCGTCCAGCATTTCAAATGACGCTAGTTTTGGATTTAACGAACTGCACATTGATCATAAATTTAAGTCACTCCGTAATCATTCCCTCCGTAAAATAATAAGCCATGCCTAACAAATGGTTAAAATTCAAATTGAAGCACGACAAATCTGTATAAGCCAAAACGTTGTAAATCACGCGCGCGCGCACGCACGCACGCACACACACACACACACACACACACACGCTGTCATGTAGTGTCCTTTTTTCTGCTTGGCTCTTGGTGAAGGTGATTTATAATTTTCATAATTTGAAATAATAAATTGTGTGTCTGAAATTATCATAGCATACCTTCCGCCTGATTGGCAAGCTTAAGGGATCCGCCATTAAGTTCTGAATTCACTCAAGTGTTAACTCCTTAATTACTAATGGAGCCGCAGAGTGGAGCCATTGCTGTTGATCCCATTCAAGTCAACTTCAAGTATGCGAGGCATTTGTTTTCCACCCGAGGAATCCTCCTTACATGATTTTTGGGGGGCACTAGGAGGAAAGTGTGTTTGCTTGCAGAGCTGCTTGTGTCATCATTTTTTAACATGCACGACAGAGTCGCTTATTTGGAAATGGGGAAAATTTGTTGCCTGACTTGAATAATTTGCAATTCTTTGTACATAAAGGCCACATGGATTAATCAATTCAATTATTCTTTTCTTTGTTCGGCGCAATGGCTGTATTCTGACTTCCGCACATTAAAGCGTAGTAATGTTTACATGCGATCAATTTGCTGCATGTTATTTTGCACCAATAATGCATCAAATGAACTGCATGTAAAAAGGGGAACTCGGGCATCTAGTGGAAAATGTTGAAATCTCTAACCAATACATCTTGATAATAAATCGTCCGTATGGGGTATGGCCACGCAGAACCAGGCCAAATGTAATGAAAAATAAGGCCGCCCCGTGAGCACAAAATCATGGAAAAGCTTTTGCAAGGAATGAGTTCTGTGCTGAACAATCGACTCGCTTGGCTCCAAGCTGTCTGTGAAGGGAGACCAATTTTCTGGCACCGCTCCTTATAGGCGTGATCATTTTGAGCATGCAATCTTTAATGTGTAAAACATTTTGGGGTTTGGTGAGCTCACTGAGAATCGTTTGTTGCCCCGAGTAGTTTTCATTTGTTTATGCGTGTTTCTCTTTTCTTCGGCGAATCTAGTTTTGATTTTCTTTTTGTTCTTGTGCTGTTTTTCTATCAAGAGTCCAATTTAAGGAACACATTTGGTCAATATAAATTCACAAGTATATCTCAGCACAAAGATAGTATTTTTTTTCGTTTGTTTGTCGAACTTGGAATTTGCATCTGCTAACAACACTGGACATATATTTTCAAAATGATCGGGGTGATTTTCATTTCAATCAATATGATTCCATCCCGTATTATAGTTTAGCATAATACAAAACCTGTAAAGTTTGAGCCTGCTTTATTAAAAGAATTAGTTAGGCCTTTATAGCGTTACAGTGTCGCCCCCCCTAATTGTAACCAAAACATGACATTATGTCTGAGGCGAATGCAAGTTATTGAAACTTTTCAGGCCTGCGTGCGTGCAGCCCTGTGTGCTTCTTACCGTGTCCCGCTTCCTCCGCTCCTCCCGCGCTTCTGTCTTCTTCAGCTCGGCTTTGAATGCCTGCGTGTCTCCGTGCTGGCCGTCCTTGTCCAGGATGTCCATCAAGTAGGAGATGTAGCTGGTGGCCAACCGAAGCGTCTTGATCTTGGACAGCTTGGTGTCGGCGGGGACATTGGGGATACACTCCCTCAGTTCCGCGAAGGCCGAGTTAATACTTTGGGTCCGTCGTCTCTCTTTCCGGTTTGCAGTCGGTCTCCGCTTCACTGTCCGAGGATGTGCGTGGTGATGATGATGATGATGCATACCCACCTGGGCTCCGTTCACAGCGATGGCGCCAGCACCGGGGACCAACGCACCGTGTCCGTAGTGGTGATGGTGGTGGTGAGGATCCAGGCCACTTACGGTCCCAGTGCCACTGTTGCCGTGGTAATCTGGACTGTAGCCCGGAGCGAGGCCGTACTCGGTGGGCGACACGTCCGCGTGACTAATAAGCCAGCTCGTGAAATAAGGAGGCGCTCCCGTGTCCTCGTGACACCGACCCGCTGCGGCCGCGTGCAGGGAGTAGTGGTGGCTGTCGTGGTGGTGCATGACCGGATGGTGAGGAAAGCCTGATACGAGACTCATGGTGACACACGGGCGCGCGCGCGCGAGCAAACACATACACGCACACACTGGCTGTCTCACGTGCACGTACGACAATGACACCCGAGCCCACGCCGAACCTTCAGGAATGCTGCTCAGTCGCTGTTTAACGACTGTCCAAAGCAGATGTTTGCATGTTGAATAATTTCCACATCGCGACAGAAAATGTCCGCCGAGTCCAAAAGTTAGGCGAGGCAGTACTCCCAAGTAGAAAGAGCCGCGCTAGTCCAGTCTACTGTTGCCCGAAGGCCGCCTAACTCTCGACATGGTTCCTCTGTCTTTCTGGCCCCTGCGATCCGAATACCCGTGGCGCCTCTTTTGTTTTTCTTCTTTTTTTTCACTTTAACATCCTTTCACCGATTCATCCTATTCCACGGGTCTCCGTCGCTGCCAGCATCAGAGCTGTTTGGCAAGGCAGGGTCAGTCTGTGCAGCAACCGGCTCAACACTACTGGCTATAGTTGACACTGAGCTGACCGAGAGAGAGAGAGAGAGAGAGAGAGAGAGAGAGAGAGAGAGAGAGAGAGAGAGAGAGAGAGAGAGAGAGAGACTAACGTCATTTACAAGCGGGGGAGGAGAGTGACTTCGCAGACTTCTCCGACCAATGGACAACCTTCCACCTTCCACTGGCCTCAACTGCAGGGTCTGTTTACTCGTCTTTAATGTCAATGGGCCCGCTAAGTAGGTCTGTTGGCACGCGCACGCACGCACAGCACAATGTAACCATATGCTGCTGGCTCAACAGTAAGAGATATGTTCTTGGCATTGGAATTCGTACACAATTTACAATCATTATGTGGCCGACTTGTTTCGCATCCCCGAAGTCTTTGTGGAAACTATATTTGAATACGAAGTCAGCTTACTCGGAATACTGGCACTGTAAAACTGTGATTTTGGTTTAATTACACCTCCGTGAAAATATTAAAGCCGGGTCCAGGGCATGATCAAATCGCGCTGGTTTCTACAAGGATACACGTGGTCTTTGTACATCTGGTTGGCTGTGGGGATTTAGTTCCCTCACAGATCATCATCAAGTCATCTTGTCCCCTGTCAAAATAGTAATTTCCTTAGAACGAAAATCATATAATTACAATGTATATGTTTCCTAATACAACAAGAAATGTAAAGCAACCTCAAATAAAATGCATGTGACATGCTTGACTTATATTGGCATGCGTTCTTCCTCCGGTTAATCTTCTGCCAATATGTCTCTGAGAAGGACTAAGGCCAAGCTTGGGGACACAAGCCAGTCCCGAGACGCGCGCGTGTCAAGCATGTCAGCGGCCGTTTATTCCAAGTGAATGAGTTAAGTCTCACAAATCGCATGTTCTCAGGAAAATAACAGACAACTACGTGCAAGGCAACTGTAGCGGCTAAACCTTTCTGTGTAACTTTTATAAAATCAAGAACTGCACGGATTTTATACAAACATGCACTAACCCAATACTTTGCTGAATATCATTCACCCGGCTGTCGGTTTGAATTGTTTAACTTCGAATTGCAATGCCTGGTTGAAACTTTTAGTGTTTGTCGTTAATGATCAACAGAATGCTATATAACATTTTAATATTAGGATTAAATTTACCTCAATCGTTTCATTATCATGAGAAATATGCATGCGAAGGCAATGGAAAATAAAAATCATTTGCTAATTATGTTTCTATTGGAAAGGGTTAGTCAGACAAGTCAAGAAAATAGCCTTTACATTTTGCAAACGGCAGAAATATAGGCTACTACTACTACTAGTACTACTACTACTACTACTACTACTACTACTACTACTGCTACTAATAAAAATAATAACAACACAGATATTGGAAAATACTGTACAGCCGTGCAACCACATTTTGTTAAATGAAAGCCTTAGTGGAAAATTAGGCGGAAAATATCCAATTAGCCTTAAGACGAGAAAAAACATTCCGGTTCCGAGCCTCTTTATTCTTCCACATGACGTAAAACGGTTTTTAAAAAAAAAAAGCAAAGGGGTTTTTTCAACATTTGAAACGAATTTCTCTCATTTATTTTGGGTCATCTTTTCTCATTTTTCATTTCTGTTTTCTGTTACTGCAAGTTCAATATACCGCTTAATAACAACAACAACAACAATCATAATAATAGTTTAAATATATGTTTATTCTGCAGGCAAATAGAAACTTGCGATTCTCTTGACGATATTCCCTGTTATATGGAAGGCTCAATGTGGAAATAAAGCCTCTAGTGTCCTTTTCAAGCCCGAGAAGTACAAGTCTCCAAAAATATTTCAAGTTCAACGGTGCCCTCAGAGTCGTCGCTACACATTATACACGCCTTTCTCGGCTTTGTGTTATTAGCTTATAGTGCATTCACGATAACCAACCAAACTAGTAATAATAATAATAATAATAATAATAATAATAATAATAAGAATAATAATAATACATCGAATGTTATGCTACAAAATAAGTCCCTGATAATGTCGTGGTGCATTCGCTTGTCTTCGCAGGTAGCGTGGTTCACTTCCCATTCAGTGACGATGTGAATGTCAGAGTGCGTGATTGTTTTACGTGCTCTTCGACCAACTGGCGACCAGTCTCGGGTATCGTCCGCCTCTCATTCGACGTCATCTGGGAAAGGCTCAAAGAACAAGACGCGTGGAATAGAAACTAGATGGATGACACAACATGGCCGTAAATCCTGTTTTACACGTTGCAATGTAATCTATCAAATACAGGCCATTTGCGCAACCTTCAACTCGAATGAAGTCCTGTTGATAAATAAAGCTCATGACAGTTTTCCCGAGTTCAAACAAACAAATAATGAAAACAGACAAACAAACATGTCGGGATAAGAAGTTGAGACTGTGCCCTCCAAAATATTTTCCTTTTTGTAAATCAACTGCGCTATTTGCATTCTCAAGTTAAATTTGTTCTTTTCCCCGCCCCCTCGGATTAATAATATGATACAGACGCAATTGATGTTAACCAAGTCATTAAAGTAGACAGGCATTTCTTGATGGAGTTGTGCTTCTCAGAATACTGTATTGCATGCCCTATACGATACGTAACCCCTATAAATGTATACAACAACAGCAACACGTCATCATATTTCGTGCGCTATAACTTCGGTATCAAGAATAAAAACATTGACTGTGAACTTGATAAATTCGACAACTTCCAACAAGTTCCGCGTCCCGACTCCTGCTGTTTTTTTTTTTTTTTTTTTTTAGTCATTGTGAGTTACACTTAAGTCAACACTGAAATTATGCTATAATGAGACATCCGTGGTTAGGGGTTAAGGCATAGTAAACGCATCTTGAGAAGAGAGACTTACAGTCGCAGTTCGTGTTTGCAGATTGTAATTGGTCATAAATGACGTCTTGAGTTTCGAACACGTTTTTAAGCGATGGGGGATTATGGCTCCTGTGTTGTGTGAGAGATGAGGAGCAGCAGAAGCAGACAGCGTTGCTGAAAGTGTGAGTCGGAATTCTCTGTGAGGAGGGCCTATGATTTATATTTGTTTAAGTGTTGAATGGGAGCGCCAGTTGTGAGTGGGTGCGTGTGTGCGTGTGCGCGCATGTCTGCCTGCTCTGTGTAATCCATCTATGTGAATGGGAGCTGTTGCAGTAATTTAGATCAGTTTGTGTCTCCTGATAATGATATATAATTAGACTGTAGGTCAGTCGGTCAGACTCCTGATCTCTCCCCCCTCCCCGACTCTCCCTTTGCCGCTCTCCCTCACTTTCTTTCTTTCTTTCTTTCTTTCTTTCTTTCTTTCTTTCTTTCTTTCTTTCTTTCTTTCTTTCACGCGTAGACCTCTCCCCCATATGCGCTATCCTCTGATCTCAGCCATTCTTCCGTTGTATAAATAAACCTGATGGGGTCGCACGATGCACGCGCGCGAGCGTGTGTGCGCGCGCGTGTAGGCGAGCAAAAGCAAAAGAAAGAAAGTTAAGTTGTCACTCTCGTGTGCGTGCACTTGTGCGTGTGTGTCAGGCAGTGTGATGACGTACAGGTACATTCCACAACACCAAAAGTTTCTTCAGAGTAAAATACTGTTGTAACTGTCTGGATTCAATTCCACATCCAACCCCACCCACAGTCGATGAAATCCAACAAATCACTTACCGATAAAGACTTAATTTAAGTCCGTCGGCACACACACACCCGCACAAATAAAAAAAATGGAAAATACTAAAAAATAGAAGCATGATAGCACAGCAGCTCTACTGTGTATAATATCATCATAGTTGGCACATAATTTGATAATCATGGCAAATAATAAAATATAATCACAAATTCAGTCACTTCACTTCAAGAGCTAGTATTGAATAAAAAAATAATACATTGTCAAACTTTCATAAAAGATACAGCTGTGGCGTTTAGTCCGATAAACTTGAATTGTACATTCAATACCATTGTACATTGCTTTAAATAAAACAGATTGGGCTTGCAAAACGAGGCTGACAAAAAGGGCAAGACCCTCACTGATATTCGGGATCTTGCAAATGCTGTATTTCAAACATCAGTTAAAAATGAATGCAAATTTTATTAATCGGTTGTCAAGGAACTGCTATGAAGTTACAGACATACAGTACATGATGTTCTGTGTGTCAAGAAAAAACAAAAATAAATACATAAATAAATAAAAACATTTAATGTTTATATTGAACCCAACAATCCCAATAATCAGTCACAGATATGTAAAATTGAAATGTGTTCCTTTTGTAATGCCATTGTGGTTTGCACCTCGCCTCTCGTCCAAGTCAGCCGGGATGGGATCCTGTTTACCCTCGGCCCAAATGAGAACAAGGAGTATAGAAAACGGATAATCTATGCATTTTGTTGTGGGATACTTTCATGCGAGTACCCTTGACAGTGCCCAATCATGTTTCTACCAGGAAAAATGACACATGCTGCTTTCCCCAGGCCCTCTCCACTTGGTCAGCACATCCTTTTTGCCAATCAAGGTTCCCTCATGGCCCCTAACCACTAAAAGAAGAGTGAATGTAAGGGATTAGTCTTTTTGCAAAACTGTGCTCACACTGAAACATGAAGAGGGTATTGATGAAACCTGAGTAATATGAAAGGAGAGTGGGGATACTCGCACCATGAGAGAATACAATACACGCTCCTCAGGACCAAAGGAAACATATTTGATTACGCCGTATCCTATGGCCAACACAGATCACACCGGTTTGTTGTCTTTATGGCCAAACAAGTATGGGAGGCCTAAATTCGTGACCAGCACAAGTCAAGCACAAAGTGCACGGATGGAGGTTTCTTTCTTTTGGTATTCTCACAGGAGCGCATAGGTAGAAATGGGTTTTTGTGCCGTTATCGGAATAAACACAGCCAACTTAATTCCAGACCAAGCAAAGCAGCTCCTGTCATTCTATTTAAATTCAGCAGAGAAAAGGCGCACTGTCGACATGGAGGAAGCATAATGGACTCGCTGGAGTCCATGCAGAAAATCAGCGCCTGCAAAGTA